AGTCCCTGTTGGTGGTAGGTTTGTGATAATGAGGTGGTTTTGGAAAGGTGTACTATAAGTGCATGAAAAGTACTAAATAGTACTATAATTGGAACAATTTGGTATTTTGTGAACCGATAGTTTTTCAAATCTGAAATTTGATATTGGGCTCGAGGTTCATGTGTAGCCTAGACATATGAAGGTTTTCTGGGAAATATGTACAATAATTATACTGTACTCGGTATTGGGTGAAGGCTTGAAGATAAAATTCTGACTTGATATTTAGATTACTGATGGTATTTGTGTTTGAGAATTGATGGTGGTTTGGAAATGCTCCCTATATTTGTAACTAAAGTACTGGATTTGAAAATGTGTAATTTAATAGTACGAAAAGAACTAAAATGTACTATATTTGGTATTGGGTAAAATAATGGACCTAAAATACTGAAATTTTATATAGATGTCACCTTTTGTATCTGGAATTGAGGCATGGATGTAGTTTTGAAAAAGTGTTCTACAATTGTACTAAATAGTATTTCTATAGCGAATAGAAGACCTACGTGTCTCTAGAGAGAATAGAAGACCTTCGGGTCTTCCATGCCGAATAAAAGACCTTCGGGTCTTTCATGCCGAATACAAGACCTTCGGGACTTCTGTAGCGACTAGAAGACCTACGGGTCTTTTATATCTAATAGAAGACATACAAGTCTTCTATTGTCCAAAGCAAACCTTGAAGTTTCCTATTGTCTATAGAAGACCTGCATGCCCCCTATTGTCCATGGCAGACCTGTAGTTCTTCTATTACCCCTAGATGACCTGGACTTCTTCTATTGTCCATATATGACCTGGAGTTTTTCAATTGTCCATAGAAAACCTTGAGATCCTTTATTTTCTGGGAAGAAGATCTGTAGAATGTCATTTCTTATAAAATGCTTTCTTTAATTAGCTGACCTGCAAAAGCATTTCTCGTGTATACGGCCTTAAAAATTATTTTCCCATAGAATACCTTCACAAAAAATATTCCTTGACCTTTGACCCACTTTGTTTAACATTGAATTAAAAAAAAAACACATCCATTCCTCATTCCATTAATTATCGGAAAAAAATACAAAAATGCCCCATTCAATTAAGCGATCAATAAACCCAATATTTATAATCCTCTTTAGTTCTATTATGAATTGGCAGCAGTCGTCAGTACCTTAATTAAATAAAAAGCGTTTAAATCACTTCATTTTAGCACCGTTACTGACAACGTCGTAAGCTGGCTGACAAACATACGAACGATGGAGCGAGCGGACGTATGAAAGTACGAACCAAGTACAAAGTCAACAATTTGAAGTGTTTGAGGCCAATAGATCAGAATAATCGCCTGATAGTTACTTCAAGATGCGAGAGAACAAAAACGAGAAAAAAAAACGCCAGCTAAGGATGAAATAAGCCAATTGCTTAACATAATTACGCTGGAGCAAAAAAGCTCACCGTCGTCGTCGTCGTCATCCTAGCCGTCAGCGTCGTTAGCCAAGAGTTTTTTTTCTATTTACATAGAATGTATTTTTGTTTGTTCATGCCAACATTTTTTCTCGCTTCGCCATCGCTTTATTTTTTTTTGCTTTTCTCCGCTCGTTGAGTTGCATTTTTCTGCAATTCAAGCAGCAATTTGCAATTAACATAAGTCAACAGAACGTTTTGCGAGCATTTCAAGTGAGTTTTTTTAGAACGTACCTTTTGTCGAAGTGCTGCGGAAGGGGGTAAATTTGTTGTAAGGGTGAAGGTTGGGGTGTTCTGTTTTCGCTTTCACAAAGTTCATTCCGTAATTTGCTGATTATCGGTGTTTGAAAAAATAGGAAATAGTGAAAGCAGCAATCTGGTTGTAAGGTCTCAATATTTAATGTCTCTCTAGATACGGAATCACCTTATCAAAAATCATGAACATAGTCTGTTATTTTATCGGAGACTTAAAATGATAAAAAAATATGAAAAATGCCATCTCCAGCTCTTCTGTGGGATACAGAAGACCTCTCCAGCTGTTCTATGGAATATAGAAGACCTCTTCAGCTGTTTTATGGCGCATAGAAGATCTCTTCAGCTGTTTTATGGCGCATAGAAGATCTCTTCAGGTGTTCTAGGCGATAGAAGACCTCCAGGTCTTCTATGGCGCATAGAAGACCTCCAGGTCTTCTATGGCGCATAGAAGACCTCCAGGTCTTCTATGGCGCATAGAGAACCTCCAGGTCTTCTATGGCGCATAGAAGACCTCCAGGTCTTCTATAGGCGATAGACCTGGAGGTCTTCTATTATCTATAGAAGACCTGGAGGTCTTTTATTGTCTATAGAAGACCTGGAAGACCTTCTATTGTATATAGACGAATTGGAGGTCTTCTATTGTCTATAGAAGACCTGGAGGTCTTTTATGCGCCATAGAAGAGCTGGAGGTCTTCTATGCCCATAGAAGAGCTGGAGGTCTTCAACCGTCTATAGAAGACCTGGAGGTCTCCATGCGCATAGAAGAGCTGGAGGTCTTCTACCGTCTATAGAAGACCTGGAGGTCTTCTATGCGCCATAGACCTGGAGGTCTTCTATTGTCTATAGGAAGACCGCCAGGTCTTCTATAAACAATTGAAGACCTCTAGGTCTTCTATAGACAATTGAAGACTCCAGGTCTTCTATAGACAATTGACGACCTCCAGGTCTTCTATAGACAATTGAAGACTCCAGGTCTTCTATAGACAATTGAAGACCTCCAGATCTTCTATAGACAATTGAAGACCTCCAGGTCTTCTATAGACAATTGAAGACCTCCAGGTCTTCTATAGACAATTGAAGACCTCCAGGTCTTCTATAGACAATTGAAGACCTCCAGGCCTTCTATAGACAATTGAAGACCTCCAGGTCTTTTATAGACAATTGAAGACCTCCAGGTCTTCTATAGACAATAGAAGACATCCAGGTCTGCTATAGACAATTGAAGACCTCCAGTCTTCTATAGACAATTGAAGACCTCCAGGTCTTCTATAGACAATAGAAGACCTCCAGGACTTCTATAAACAATAGAAGACCTTCAGGTCTTCTATAGACAATTGGAGTCCACCAGGTCTTCTATGCCGAATGGAAGGCCTCCAGCTCTTCTATGGACAGTAGAAGACCTCCATCTCTTCTATGGACAGTAGAAGACCTCCAGCTCTTCTATGGTGCATAGAAGACCTCCAGCTCTTCTATGGTGCATAGAAGACCTCCAGCTCTTCTATGGTGCATAGAAGACCTCCAGCTCTTCTATGGTGCATAGAAGACCTCCAGCTCTTCTAGGGACAATAGAAGACATGCCAGCTCTTCTATGGACAATAGAAGACCTCCAGCTCTTCTATGGACAATAGAAGACCTCCAGCCTTCTATGGTGCATAGAAGAGCTCCAGCTCTTCTATGGTGCATAGAAGACCTCCACTCTTCTATTGTGCATAGAAGAGCTCCAGCTCTTCTATGGTGAATAAAGACCTCCAGCTCTTCTATGGTGCATAGAGACCTCCAGCTCTTCTCTGGTGCATAGAAGACCTCCAGCTCTTCTAGGGCGCTGGAAGACCTCCAGCTCTTCTAGGGCGCATGAAAGACCTCCAGCTCTTCTAGGGCGCATGGAAGACCTCCAGCTCTTCTAGGGCGCATGGAAGCCTCCAGCTCTTCTAGGCGCATGGAAGACCCCACTCTTCTAGGGCGCATGGAAGACCTCCAGCTCTTCTATGGCGCATGAAGACTCTCTTCTAGGGCGCATGGAAGACCTCCAGCCTTCTAGGGCGCATGGAAGAACCTCCAGCTCTTCTAGGGCGCATGAGACCTCAGATCTTCTAGGGCGCATGAAAGACCTCCGCTTCTAGGGCGTATGGAAGACCTCCAGCTCTTCTAGGGCGTATGGAAGACCTCCAGCTCTTCTATGGCGCATAGAAGACCTCCAGCTCTTCTATGGCGCATAGAAGACCTCCAGCTCTTCTGTGGCGCATAGAAGACCTCCAGCTCTTCTATGGCGCATAGAAAGACCTCCAGCTCTTCTATGGCGCATGGAAGACCTCCAGCTCTCAAGGGCGCATGGAAGACCTCCAGCTCTTCTAGGGCGCATGGAAGACCTCCAGCTCTTCTATGGCGCATGGAAGACCTCCAGCTCTTCTATGCCGTATAGAAGACCTCCAGCTCTTCTAGGGCGCATGGAAGACCTCCAGCTCTTCTAGGGCGCATGGAAGACCTCCAGCTCTTCTAGGGCGCATGAAGACCTCCAGCTCCTCTATGGCGCATAGACGACCTCCAGCTCTTCTATGGCGCATAGAAGACCACCAGCTCTTCTATGGCGCATAGAAGACCACCAGCTCTTCTATGGCGCATAGAAGACCACCAGCTCTTCTATGGCGCATAGAAGACCACCAGCTCTTCTATGGCGCATAGAAGACCACCAGCTCTTCTTTGGCGCATAGAAGACCACCAGCTCTTCTATGTCGCATAAAAGACCTCCAGCTCTTCTATGGCGCATAGAAGACCTCCAGCTCTTCTATGGCGCATAAAAGACCTCCAGCTCTTCTATGGACAATAGAAGACCTCCAGCTCTTCTATGGCGCATAGAAGACCTCCAGCTCTTCTATGGCGCATAGAAGACCTCCAGCTCTTCTATGGCGCATAGAAGACCTCCAGTTCTTCTATGGCGCATAGAAGACCTCAAGCTTTTCTATGGACAATAGAAGACCTCCAGTTCATCCAAGCCTTCCACGGACAGTGGAAGACCTCCGGCTCCTCTATGGACAATAGAAGTCCTCCGGCTCTTCGATGGCGCATAGAGAACCTTCAGTCTTTCTATGACGCGTAGAAGAGCTCCAGCTCTTCTATGGACAATAGAAATAGATAAAAAATAATTCAAACAATCCTCAAAACTTATATTAATTATGACCTTAATTAAAATTAATCTTTACTTAAATGAAAAGTTTCATTGCCCTTTATTCGAATTATATACCCCCTCTTCCTTATCACACCCCCTTTGCATTCTTACTTACCCTCCATAATGTCCATAATGTTATTGGTAATTTCAACATTGGGAAATTGTAGCGGTGCTGCGGCGGCCAACTGCTTCATGGATAAATTTTCGCTGTTGATGCTGTTGTTGTTGTTATTATTGTTGTTGTTGAAAAATTTCATATTTGTCGCATAATCCTTTTTTATGTGAGTGTCGAATTTAAGGTCTGTTTGTAGTGTGGTCATATCATTAATCATGTTGAATATTTGTGGGTAGCGTTGTGGTGCTGGTGTGGCGTGTTGCGTTTTCCGTCGTTCTCCTTGTCGACACAGAACTGTTGTTGTTATAATTTTTATTTGTTGCTGTTAATGTTGGCGTAAATCCTCTTCGTGGTATTTATTTGGGTGCTGTTTTAATTTTATTTTTGGGTTTTCGGAAATATGTGATGCTGCTCGCCCACCAAAAACCAAATTGTGATAATCTGAAATAATCATAAAAGATATTAATTAGTACAAGTGTTTAGTGTTTGTTTGGGTGTGTGTGTGTGGGGAGTTGTTGGAAATGAATTTAGAGAAGAGGGGATACAAATTGAAATATGAAAACAAAAAACAATTTTCAGAAATAAGCAATTCTGGTAAATAGGTGTTGAAAAAGTCTTCTATGTTTTGAAGATACAAGGATATTTTATATGGAAGGAGTCCATCAACAGATGCTTCACTGCGTTAAGATTTCCAACAATTCATCTTTAAATAGAGGACAATATTTCATGGTTTTATAGCCTCTTGGGGCGTTCGATAACAAATTGCAAGAGAAACCACATATTATTTTACGTAACGACTCCCAAGGGGACTTTCTATGTCAGCAGGACGAGTTTTCCGGAAAATTTTTTCATACTATTGAAATCGTCAATATATTAATTCTATATTTTAGGTCTTCAGTGTTTTATACCCTCCACCATAGTACGGTCCGTCTATCTGACTATCCGTTTGTCCGTCTGTGGAAATAACTCTAGCTTCCGAAGGAATGAAGTAGGTTAATAAAATTTTACTCAAGTGCATATTATGTCTGTTGGGATTTTGGTATTTAAAATGGGCCATGTAGGTCCACGTTTTGATATAGCCCCCATATAATAGTACCTCCCTATTTTCGTTATTTTAGTAACATTATTCTCCGGAATTGTTTTCAAATTTGGTATTTGAAGTTCGTAATGGATAGTACAGCCTATGACAGAAAATTGTCTGTGCAGGCCCACGCGTTCGTATAGTCCTCATATACTGGTACCTCTCGAAATTCGGTATTTTGACGATTTTAGCGACTTATCACCGGAATTGTTTCAAATTTGACATTGGAAGATCTTAATGGGTACGACAACCTATGGCAAAAATTGTATAAACGTCCACGTCGTCGTATAAACGGCTAAAAAAATTTCAACAGAATTTTTAACGGATATTATTTTTTTTTAATTTGCCAAATTCGTTCCAAATGGTGGAGGGTATTCAAAGTTTGGCCCGACCGAACTTACAGCTTTTTTACTTGCATATATTATTATACCCCAGCCATATGGCTAGAGAGGGTAAGTATATCATTTACCACATCAAAAAAAAAAAAAAAAAAAAAACGGTTTTAGACCCTATGTCTCTTTGGATCAAATCCGTTTCAGTACTTTGGAATCAATCTAGCGATGCCTGTCCGGCCGTCCCTCTGCCTGTCTGTCTGCTGACTGATGCGCACGTTAAATCTTAAGGAAGTATCCGATTTGGTCCAATCTTAGTACATCGTAGTAGTATTATCAAATTAAGATCGAGTTCGGAGATGGGCAATATCTCTACTCTCCTTCTGGTACCTCCCCCACAAAATGTCCACATTTTCAAAGAAAAAATTTTTCTGCACAGAAAGAGAAAGGAAAATCCAATTTTGCTCCAACTTTGCAAATCCTAATATTTGTATTAGTGCTAGGCCAGGTACGAAGAAGGACAATATCGATTCACTCCATAGAGTCCCACTTCCACAAAGGATCAACTTTTGAATATTTTTAACTGTTATTAAATGTGATGTAAGAGTTCGCTTGTCTTCAACTTTCACACATCACACATATTTATTAAGCCAAGATCTGTTCTGAAGAGGGAATATATAAGCCCATTACTTCTGATACTTCCCCCACAAAGGGTCAATTTTTGAATACCCATTAAGCTCACAAAACGCGAAATTAACAACCCACCTCATTCAGCCTTGGTACCACTCCATATTTCTATCAACACAAGATCTGTTATAAAGATGGTAGAGATCGGACTATTTCCTCTGGTACCTCCCCCACGAAGGGTGAAAGTTTTGAATAACCAAAACAATTATAAAATCCAAAATAAACATTCGGTTCTCTTCATATTTTACAGATCCCCTTCTTTCTACTAATACTAGATCTGATGTAAAAATGGGATATAACGGTCCACTTTTTCTGGTACCTCCCCCACAAGGGTCAATATTTTGAATTCCACGAAGTTCATAAAACGGGAAATTAACATCGGATTCCATTCAGACTTAGTACATTTTAATATTTCTACCAACAGAAGATCTGTTATAAAAACGGTGGATATCGGACGATTCCTTCTGGTACCTCTCATGCAAAGGGTCAAAGTTTTGAATAACCAAAATTATTATAAAATCCGATAAAGGTATCCGTTTCTCTTCACATTTCACACATTCCATTCTTTACACTAACAGAAGATTTGCTGTGAAGATTGAATTATAGGTTTACTACTGCTGGTACCTCCCCCACAAATGGTCCACATTTTGAATATCCATGAAGCTCATAAAACGCGAAATCATGATCTGATTCATTTAGATTCTGTATACTTCAATACTTCCAACAACACAAGATCTGTTATAAAGATGGTAGAGATCGGACCATTTCTTCTGGTACCTCCCCCATATAGGGTTCAAGATTTTGAAAAACAAAGCGTTCAAAGAAAGCGAAATAAGAGCAACTAACTCTCCTCCGATTCCCACATACAAACATTTTGGTAACACAAAGTCTCTTATGAAGATGATATAATTCTGTGAGCCCTTTGTGGTACCTCACCCTCTACGGTCACAATTTTCAATACTTTTGTCTGTCATTACTTGCGAAAAATATGTCAGCGACTTTAGAACTAATAATTCTCTCAACCCAAACCTGGGATGAATATGGAATTATGATTTCGCACAAAACTGAATAAAAATGTTCGATATTCTCTAATTTTGCCCTACCATATTTTTATCTGTATTAGAAGTATGAAAATGGAATGCTTCCGTGGAC